GAAGGTTTTGAAGAACATAGCCGTACTATTGGGCATTCCCAATATCGGTTCTGGTCCAATGGGTGTCGTTCCTGAACCGATCTTAGCTAGTCTGTCTGCCTCATCGTTCCCCATCATACCAAAGTGTCCAGGGACCCACATGAGGTTGACTCTCCTAGTTTTTGCCGTATTCTCCAAGACACTTCGACACCAATCTTGTTGTGATCCTATTGAATCTCAATGCGTATTTGCCTCCTCCATTTACTCCTGCACCATACGTGCCCGCAATGAGGCAGCCGTAAGCCAAGTTGACCGGTTGGCAAGAAGCAAACCTGGTGTTTTGCCATTTCATTGTAATAATATATTATGTAACAAGTGTTATAAACGTCAATCAATCAATCAATCAATACTGTGCTTTATTGTCCAAGAATAATAATCCTTATTGACAAAGCATGGTTTACAATTATTGTAGTGGACTTCCACTGTGTCCAATACGAAGTTATATAATATTATGTATAATATGTATAAATAAAAATAAATAAATTTAACATTGTAAAACATAGGTACGGTAAAATACAAATAGGTACATAATGTAAATTCAACACACACGAATAAAAAAAAGTTACATCATAATAATCTTGCTGAAATACCTACATGAAATGAGTAGTATCAACATATATATCAGAATAACATAGTTGCAACCTAGAATCTTTCATCGTAATATTCCTGCAGGTCATAATTATGCTCTTGGTAAGAGAAAATCCGCAACACTTTTTCTGAATTTTTTCAAACTTTCGAATGCTTTTAAATGCTGCGGCAGATGATTATAAATTTTTCTGCTTTCATAAATCACAGAATTTTTGGTGAGCGTTGTCTTTGGTATTGGTAGTTTAATAGTATTTTTATTCCTTGTATGTACATTTATATCACGAGAGATTCCACTCATCAGAGGCTGATTTTTGTGCATCAAACAAACAGTTTCCAATATAAATAGGCACGTAAGTGTCAAAATTTTAGAATTAATGAAAAGAGGTCTGCAATGGTCACTAGATCTTGCTTTACAAAGGTATCTCACTGCTCTTTTCTGTAGAACAAATACCGTGGACAGTAAATGTTGGCTACAAAAGCCCCAGAATACTATACCATATCTAATATGAGATTCTATGAGGGAAAAATAAGTATTTCTAGCAATATCAGAACCAAGCTCATTTGACACAATTCTGACAGCATAGCAACCTGACGTCCTTTTAGTAACGAGTATTTTAAGCACGAGCGGAGCAGAGCGGAGCGAGTGTTTAATACGCGAGTGTCTAGGAGAGTTTATAAACGCGTTACATACTATGCTTTTTCTACGAACTCCGAAAATTACATTAACATACCTGCTATCCCTGCTAACCTACAAAATAATTCGGAAGGAATGGGAATTGGGAACATAATACATGCAACTGCATGCAACCAGCGAGACACGTATAAGTGATATTGGTTGTAGATGTGTCCAGTCCATTGCTTACTAACCTTTGTTTCATGTTTATTGTCATGCTTAGCGCAGAATAAATAAATTGTTCTCAAAGAAGGATGCTGCTTCATTTTTACACTTCTTGGAGATATGCAAGTACCAGAACATTCTCTTCAATTTCACTTTCGTCTACATTTCGCATATATTTTTGATCAAGAATTCTGATACAAACGAATATTGTTTGAATAATTCTGATACGAAATTTGAAAATAACAGGTGACAGTTGATACAATTGACAGGCCAGACATGTCATAAATTACTGAAGCTGTGTTTAATGAACTCTGTTGCCATGGTAATGTGTTTAAGAAATCGTGTTACCGTAACGTGTTTAATATTTCGAATAAATCACAGATCGTCAATTCGTGATTAATCGATCATTTAGCGTGGTACATATCCGTACGCTAAATGCCATTTTAGTTATGTGAGTAGAAAAAAGATATTAATCATTTTCAGGATGTTGGACCGTTTGAAGAAAAATATAGCATGGTCAACAGTAGGTAGTGTACTTAATTTTTTCTTCAGTTAATAGACTTTATTCATTCAGTAGTAATGTGGTACTCGTACATGCATAACATAATGATAATCATAATCAGACTCCAATATGGAATTTTAGCATGGGGTGGAGCAGCAACTGTACACCTCAAAAAATTGGAAAATCTGCAGAAACGATTTCTTAAAATTATTCTTGGAAAAGAACCTACTTACCCTACGCAAGCTATCTTTTCTCTGAATCTGAAATTCTAACAATCAGACAAATACTTTTTTCAAATCTCATCACTTTCCTTCACGCTCACAAACATTTACTAAACCATATTGATCATGTATACCCCACGAGAACGAGATTGAGAAACTTTGTGAAGTTGCCATTTTTAACAAAAAAAATCGGACAGAGGTGTTGCAAATATTTATCTTTGAAAGCATTCAATTTCCTCCCTGAGGAACAAAAAAATTATGTTCTAACAATAAACTCCAAGAATTTATTAAGGAAAAAAATCAAAATATTTATACTTCAGACCAATTTATCCACTATAAGCGAATTACTCTCATAATCATAGGAGAACAAACTATTCCATTTGATGCATTCGTTAATCCCATTCGTTAATTATTAGCCATTCACAACTCTCTATTCATTTCTCACCTGGGTATGTTCATGTTTATAGGTGAAAAAAATATATAAATAAATTAATTTGAGTTTGAGTGAATCTGAAATTGACAAAACTCTACTGTAGATTATATATAACCGGCATTATGATCATTTTTATTATTTTCATTATTAGTTAGTATTAGTATTATGATTTTCAATATTATATCATTATTATTACAAAGGTATAGGTATTGTTACTGTTGGTGTTATTATCAGGTATATAATCATTATTATTATCACTATTATTATTAATCTAACATTGTTAAAGATATTCCTCAACTTTTCCACCACATGAAGTTTATAATAATCTGTTGTATACAATTTCTTTGTCACGAAATATGAAATACATTTGAAGATATGGCATTTACGACAAAGAAAACCCCACGCGCAGTTTCGGCTTTTGTGGGTCTCTCAATGTTTGTTTATGCATATATGCCAACACAAAATGTAAAAACATAATCAGGAATAGCGTGAATAAACATTATTATTATTATTATTATTATTATTATTATTATTATTATCTTTCCCATTCCATTGAGGAAACTTCCTGAGCAGCGTGATGCTTGTATTGTATATCCTCCAAGCAGTTTGAAAAGCGTGTGGATTTTTGTCAGAACAGAGTTCACAATTCTCGTGTTTAAAAAAACAAAAAATATATGTTAATAATACCGAGTGAGTGACCAACATTTATATTCCTTTGTCATCAAGATATTCAGAGACATTGAGTCGGTACGTTTCAGTTTATTGACTAAACATATCAGAAAATTTTGAAGAGGTTAGTGTAGCGAAGTAGGAACATTTTCACTTCAGATTTGTATTTGAGAAGATAATTAATTTGTTTTAGATCATTAGGCAGTAAGTTGTACAATTTTGGTCCATAGAAGAGGACACATCTTTGTGTATGAGATTTTTTATAAATAGGTAAGTCAATGGACATACCAATAGTGAATCTAGTCATCCTTGTTTTGTTTGTTTTTAGGCTTAATCTTTCTTGGAAAATCCATATTGAACATTGAAAAATATATAAGTTTCGTTAGTTCAAGAGTTCTGTTTCTTAATAAAAAGTTTCAGTGGAAAATAACCTATCTTTGTGATAATGAATTTTCCAGGTTTTTTATTATACTACTATACATTCCTCCCCATGCTAGGATACAGTATCTGATTATCGATTCCGCTAAAGAATAGGATATGGATTAGGATGTACAGAGTTTTTTGTTCATTATATCTCTTAGCAAGTAAAATTCATACATCAGTGTTCTCAGTCTTTTGATTAGGAATGTTCCATGCTCATCCCACTCAAAATGTTGATCAGTTATAATAACCAAATATTTTATGGTATTTGTTTTCTCAATTTTGGGGCAGCTGCAATTATCTTTGTGACAGTCCTTCATGTGTAAAACTACATTTCTATGTATTTGATCTGCAGTTATTAGTGAGAAAGTCATGTGTTTACTTTTATCTACGTTTAAACTGAGTTTATTCACGTTCAACCAAGTTTGTATTGAACCCATACCTAGTTCAGCATTCTTGTAAATGTTTTCCCAAGAACTATCTTCAAAGATTATAGCTGTGTCATCAGCATTGGAAACGATGTGTCATTTGAATTCTTGATATTGCTCATGTCATCTATATATAAGAGGAATAATAACGGGCCTGAAACGGTACCTTGCGGTATACCTATACTAACATTAGCAGGATCACTCGAAATATTTTTTATATCAACATACTGTATCCAATCATCTAAGTAGTTTTGCATTACTCTCAATACAGGCCCTCTGATACCCAATTTATACGCTTTATATCAAGTGAAATACTATGCGATACCGTATCAAACGCTTTAGCCAGGTCTAGAAATATTGCCATACATTTTTTTTTCTACATTCATGCAAAAAACAGAACTTTATTGAACTATATTTAGTGGAAAAAGAAGTTCTTTATTGCACTTAGTGCAATAAAGTTTTTATTGCACTCCTCTGTCATTCTACTTCAACGTGCTGTCATCATGACAAACATTTTCTATAATGCAACTGTGGTTATAGAAACGTCAGTCAAAAATTAATTCTGACAATTAACAGAATTGTACCTAGTGCCGCACCTCAATAAATCATTTTTTGCTTTTTGCATGAACGTAGAAAAAATGTTGTATGCAACTCGTGCAAAAATTGTTTATTGCATTCGACGTGAAATTGTCCGACGAGGCCGTTAGGCCGAGTTGGACAACATTAACTTTTTGCACTTGTTGCATAAATAACTATTGAGTTATCAAGTGAACTTTTTATGTGTTTGGTTGAGCTCAAAACAGCACTTTCAGTACTTTTCATCTGTCTAAATCCAAATTGACTGTCTGTAATCACATTATTTTCATCGAGGAATTCCGTAATTCCGACATTTTTCGAATATCTTGGCAAAGTTATTTATTACAGAAATTGGCAAATAATTATATGGTAAGTCTTTCTTGCCCGCTTTGAAAATTGGGGTAGCTACAGCTTGTTTCCATTGACTAGGTATTACTCCATCTTTGAAACTCAAATTAATAATATGGACCAAGGGTCCAATGAAGCAAGTGTGGAATCTCTTTATAATTTTTACAGTGATGCTGTCAGGACCAGGCGCCAATGTCGATATTACATTTATGATTTCATTTTTGTTTACTGCGCGTAAGAAATGTGAAGAGTTGATAGACTTATCTTCGCAGAAATCAACAGGCAAGTTTCAATTTTCAATTTTTTTTGCCATGTTCAGCCCAATACTGCATACTATTTACATAGAACTGCATCGTAATGATTCGATTCTTTCTGAAAAATCCGTTTATTATAAAAACCTTCATCGCCTAAATACAACTACATCAATGATGATATCCACCGTAACCGTCGTGCCCGCTCTTAGCGCTGGCAGCTGCCACGGCGAGCCCGGCAGCAGCAGCGTTCGACTGCGCGACGTGAGCAGCTTCGGCCGCCTTCGCCGCCGAAGCTTCGGTCTGCTGCAGGTCGTCGAGCGCGTGCTGCAGCTGGTTCAGCACTTGCGCGATACGCTGCTTAGCTTCGACTACCATCTCATGCTGCGCGGCAGCTGCGTTGGCCGCCTCAGCTGCAGCCTGCTCGGCATGGGCGGCCCCGCCCTGGGCGGCTGTTAGGGCAGCTGTGAGGGTGTGCAGCTGGTTTTGGGCGTCTTGGGAGACCTGTTGGCTGGCTTGGGCGACTGCTTCCAGCTGGTGGTACTGGGAAATCTCGCCTTGCAGCTGCTGCTGGGCGTCGATGGCTTGCCTCTTGAGGTTCTGGACGATGGCTTGTTTGCCGACGAGGGCAGCTTGGGCGGTCTGGGCGGCCTGAAAGAATGCAATAATGATTAGGGATTGATCGAGCCAAGTAGAGTCCGACCAAGTTATCTTCGGAACACCACGAGAAGCAACGATTATGCATATGGTGTACGAGGGAATGCCGGTGAGTGGTTTAAATCATATCTAACAAATAGGACACAGCGTGTTGAAATAACTAGGGAAGGACTCATTGAAAAATTGGACATATTGTGTAATAACACAGGAGTACCACAAGGAAGTATTGCGGGACCAATTCTATTCCTAATTTTTATGAATGATCTGTGCTATATAACCGAAAATTTGAATGGAACTGGGAGCATAACCATATTTGCGGATGATACAAATTTGGCTGTGGGAGCAGAATCTGAAAAAAATCTTTCAAGTGAAGCATCAAACATCTACACTGAGGCAAAAAACTGGTTGAAACAAAGTAAGCTCATTCTCAATGAGGATAAAACAAAAATGGTATTTTTTAGTACAAGTCACAGTAGAAATACCAAAGCAGAACATATCAAATTAGAAGAAAAATACTTGGAAATAAATCATCATACGAAGTTTTTAGGCATTATACTGGACAGCATTCTTGACTGGACACAACACATAGAATTTGTTAATAGTTAACTCAACAAGGTGTGCTATGCAATTAGAATAACCGCAAAATACCTAAATGAGCAATCATTACGTACGCTATACCATGCCAACTTTGATATCATGCGATATGGACTTATTTTTTGGGAAATGGTTACAACTGTAGAAAACTATAGAACCAGATTGATTGATATATGCTATCCTAAACATAGACTACCCCTAATAGCACACAACGTCCTAGGGACGTCCCTATTTGGTACAATTCACGCCCGAATGTCCCGAACCAAAAATTAGTGTCCTTGGGACGTTCAATCCCGTACATCTCATGCAATGTCCGAGCAAGGACGTCCACGGAATGTACCAGCTGGTACATCATTTCAAATGTCCTAGAAATTGCATATCTTAGACGTCCCACGTGGTACATATTGTTGAATGTACATGCAAGGACGTCCTTGGCATGTTCCTGATATGATATGATTTTAAACGTTCCTTTAGGGACATCCATCGGATGTCCCGAGTAGTACATATTCTGGCATGACTTCAGATCTTATATAATGTCCCTTCTAGACAACCATGAAATGTCCCTGATGGTACATTCCTTCAAATATCTCTGCACAGACGCCCTTAATATTTCTAGGATCGTACAACAATCGAAATGTCCCTTAGGAATATTCTTCGAATCTTCGTCGGATGTCCCAATTGGTACATGAACTGTACTCTTCCAATGTCCTAGAAATAACGTCCTATGGACGTCCCAGTCGGTACTTTCAATATGTTGTCCCTGCGAGGACGTTAACTTACACCTCGCCGACGAATGATTGCTCGTAGGCTATTAGTACTCCTCGTGAATGTCCTTCACGTAAGTCCATTGGACATCCTTGGGAAACTTTTTGGGGACCTTCTACGGACCATCAACTCAACTGGATGTCCTGATCAGTTATGCAAGATATGGTGCTAGAGGGACCCAGAAAAATTCGAATTCAAGAATAATTCGTACATCCCTGGGACATCCAATGGACATCCAATCGATATCTCTCAGCGTTGCTGATAGGTTGTCCTATGGATGTCCTAAGTCCTCTGTAGTGCTTGATGAGGAATACTGTAGGATTCAGGTATTCGATAGTTGTCCCAGGGACATCCCTCAAGGACGTCTCTAGTTGCTCCTCAAGTGGGACATTTGTGCGTCCCACAGACGTCCAATGAACGTCCACGGTACCAAATTCGAACGTCCTATGGACGTCCTGAATGTCCCGACAGGACGTCCTGAGGATTCCCGGACGTCCTCCCGATTGATTGCATGAATCCAATCTTCTTGCATTATTCTAGAAATTTCAGGTATATTTCTATTAGCTCTTATTGCAGAAGGAATTCCGATGAGAAATCAGAGAAATAACCAAATTTCAAAAATGAAAACTATATGTGAGGGAGTATAGTAGGTACTTTCTTTCAAATCATAATGTACCAACCGGATTCCTTCGTCTTCCGCTGCAGTTTTTGTGCATTGTACAACAGCACAATGAGATGGCATGAGCGAATTGATGAATAGCCGAAAAATACGATTCGTATGCCAAAATAATTGTGAAAAACTAGGGTTTGCGTCGCGTGCAAGAACTGTCAGATGACCGACACTGGAGGCAAAATATTGAAACACAAACGTCACTTTACTTATTTGTTCACAAGTGATTGAAATAGTTTTTCACAATTATTTTGCATATGAATCGTGTTTTTCCGTTATTCATCAATTCGCTCATGCCATCACATTGTGCTGTTGTAAAATGCACAAAAACTGCAGCGGAAGATGAAGGAATCCGGATGGTACATTATGATTCAAAAGTAAGTACCTACTATAGTCACTCACATATAGTTGTCATTTTTGAAATTTGGTTATTTCTCTGATTTCTCATCGGAATTCCTTCTGCAATATGAGCTAACAGAAATATACCTGAAATTTCTAGAATAATGCAAGAAGATTGGATTCATGCAATTAATCGGGAAAACTGGTCTGACATGCTGACGATCGTGTGTGTTGTAGACATTTTCAATCTATTAGCAGTATTAGCTTGTATTGCAGAAGTGGCAGAAGGCAGAAGGAATTTTAATAAGGAATGACAACATTTCATAATGATAACTATGTGAGATTACTATTTACCTGAAAAATCATATTCCCTAGTCTCTTGCTGCATTTTTTGTGCATTGTACAACAGCACAATGCGAAGGCATGCTTGAAATAATAAATAACGCAAGAAACACGATTCGTATACCAAAATATTGTGAAAAACTATTTCAACCTTTTGATTCCTCTGTAAACAAATAAAAAAGTGGGGTTGTGTTTCAATAATTCACAGAAGAGTGAGGTTGTGTTTCAATATTTTGCCTCCAGGGTCGGTCATCGTGCACGCGACCTATTCTGGATAGAGGTTATGTTCTCAGAGGTTCTCGTCTGCCGCGTTCGGGTTTTCATAATTTGTGAACCGCTCTGAAACAGTCCTAGGATTCGAAACGACTGCGCACTAGTTTTACGCAGTTCGAGAACGATTCTTGAACAGTTCTGAAATCGGAACCCGAATGAACCTTGAACTTATGTTTGGGCAAAAAAAGTTCTTGCATTCCACTCACCCCGAAAGCAGCGCTGGCCAGGCTGCTCTTGACTCCAAATGCAGCCTGACTGCCCGCCGTATGCTGGCTCCTGACCGCGTTCTTCGCCTGGACGGCCGAGCTGTGCGCCAGGCTGGTCAGCTCGGCGCCATTGCCGCCCTTCTGACCGCCAGCGCCTGCGTCCTCGTAGCCGCCCTCGTAGCCGGCAACGTCGTAGTCGGCGTGGGACGCCTGGACCTGTTGCTCGGGAACTACGGTGATGGAGGCCTTGGCCAAGCCTGCCGTGGAGGCGGAGACTAGAAAAATTGGCAATTATACAGTGTTTTTGGTTGTATGATAAATTTAAAAACTTCACACGATAAGATTTCCACAAAATTGATTTTTGGCCACCTGGTACTTTGAATGCATCCTTCGTTGCGCCATAACAAACCAAAATATTTGGTTCTTCAATATCTGCATTAAAGGTCTTTCCAAAATTTATGCAATCAAAAACGTCAAATCAAAGTAGTTTGTGAAGTTTTCACTTTTGCCATGGATTTCCATCAAGTGAGGGCAGAGTCAATTCAAATTAGTATGATATTCATCATACAGGACGTGGAAAGAAATTCTGGATTGAAGAAACCTAATCGGCGGCTCGTTGGTCGAGAGCGTAAAGGCGCTGAGTTCGTATGGGGACTCCCACCGAGACATAGGTTCGAATCCTAGTTAGGCCATGGATGTTTGTGTTTGTACGCTTACCTAACCCCGCACAAGTTTCGACTTATGGGGCGTTTGGTTCCAGTGCTGGGACCAACGAGGTAATGCAATTGCAAATAAAAAATATAAAAAATCACGAATCTGCGATTGAGGTCTATAAAAATAACAAGTTTTCATCTTTCAAGTTTGAATTCCTTGTTTGGGTGGAAGTATTGATATATATATATATATATATATATATATATATATATATATATATATAAACTCTTAAATTATTTGGGACTGCAGCAAAACGAAGGTGTACTCTTATAACATTATATTTCCAATATTTCGACAATGAATATTGTCATCATCAGGGAGCTACAATTTATGAAAAATTTCTTTAAAAAAAAGGCTCTGTAAAATTATTAGTAAAGTACTTACAATGTCAGTGAGAATGATCGTTGAAAGATGGTAACAGTGGTTGATTCACAAGACACATCAGTAATTTGTAATACATTGGAACAGTGGACAAAAAGATCAATTTAAAATTGTAAAAGTTGAAAATAGTAAAATGAGATTTATTTTTTATTGAATTTTTTTAAATTTATATTCGGCTGCCGAAACACATGGCCATGCTCGAATTTGTTGAGAAATTTGCGGGAAACTTATATTGAGGTTAACAATGACAATTGTCAATTGATACTAAGTCAGTCATTTGTCAATTGTTACTGCTTGTGGGACACATGGATAATTATTTTTGTACACATTTTTCACGATTATGTCGAAACTACTGGCAACATTGTGATGAAATTTTGTATGAGTGTTCCTTGAAATCTGACACATCGCATGAATTTGTTTTTATATCTGACTTTCATAGAGGGCGCGAGTTACACGTTTCGTACCGAGTAGTTTAGATCATAACTTTTTTGAGGTTAGATTTTTCAATCCAAATATGATATGAACTTGAACATCATTCAATTTTACATCAAAAAGGTACACTTGGTGAAACTCGATACAAGGTTCCGTTTTCGGAATATTTCGATTTGAAAATAATGGAGCAATAGCTGATGCTGGTATAAAATGAATATTATTGAGTTCAATTACCTATTTATTCAGATTCAAAAACAATGAAATCATTCTTGCACTGAAGTTATTGATGGAACAAAGAGTCATAAGTTAATTAAGAGATATTTGACTAGAAACATGAAATATTGAATCAGTTAGTGTAAGTGTTCAAAATATCCTACGTTTCGACGAATACACGATTCTAATTTCTTTTCTTGAGAATGTATTATTCTTTTAAACAGTTGAGAATCAGCTGTTAGGTCATTTGAGTGATGTACAATTATGTCTTACAACTCTTGACGTGAATTTACCTATGTAGCATAAACTTTCTGCTCAAGATACAACAAAACAGTGTAATCCATGTTCTTAGTCAAATCTGTTTCCATGTTATTCTTGTGATTCATTGTTAAATCAATAAAAGCTTTATACCAGCAACAGTTATCACTTCATCATTTTCAAATCGAAATATTCTGAAAACGGTACACAGTATCGAGTTTTACCAAGAGTACCTTTTTGGTTTTAAATTGAATGATGTCTAAGTTCACATCAAATTTGGATCGAAAAATCTAACCTCAAAAAGTTATGTTCAAAACTACTTGGTACGAACCGTGTAACTAGTGCCCTCTATGAGAGTCAGATATAAAAACGAATGCATGCGATGTGTCAGATTCCAAGAAACATCCATACAAAATTTCATCACAATGTTGCCAGTAGTTTCGTCAAAATCTTGAAAAATGTGTAAAAAAAATATTTTTTCAACACCTTGTATCTTGATAACGGATGCCGTTACGAAATTTTCTTACTAAGTAAACCCAACTTATTTTGCAGTGTTCTACCTACCCTAGTTAGGGGGTCAGGTTTTTTTGAAACACCCTCTATAGATAGTGTAAGCTCGTCGTGACATACCCTGTATGAATTATACATTTTCCAAATCAATCTTAACTAAATGAACGTGAATACTTACTGGCACAAACCAAGATAACGAAAATCCCGAACATTTCAGCTGAAAAAAGAAAAAAAAAGTTTGACACCAACTCCGAATATATTTTTGATCAACTCACTCTTTTTGCGGCTAGCCTCACGTGATGTTGTAGAAGTGAATCAGAAGCGACTATGATTCTTTCTGGCTCATCCCCCTATATTTATATCTGGCGAATTGGGTGGGGCCCATCCATATGAGAAAATGATCGAAATTGTGAAGTAGATTGTTTGATGCCCGTAAGAGGCAATTTGCAAGTTCACAATCCGTAAAGACTGTAAAGAGTGCTAAGAGCTAAGAACTATTACTTACCGAACGAATGGAACGATATGATGGTAGCCAGAGGCGTGCTTCATACAGTGTGTCTCACTTATATTTATTTATTCATTCACTCCTAATAACACACTTATGTCCCATGGATATCCTTAGGACGTCCTGTCGGGACATTCAGGACGTCCATAGGACGTTCGAATTTGGTACCGTGGACGTCCATTGGACGTCTGTGGGACGCACATATGTCCCACTTGAGGACCAACTAGGGACGTCCTTGAGGGATGTCCCTGGGACAACTATCGAATACCTAAATCCTACAGTATTCCTCATCAAGCACTATAGAGGACATCCTTAGGACATCCATAGGACAACCTATCAACAACGCTGAGGGATAACAATTGGATGTGCATAGGCTGTCCCAGGGACGTACGAATTATTCTTGAATTTGAATTTTTCTGGGTCCCTCTAGGACCAGATCTTGCATAACTGATTAGGACATCCAGTTGAGTTGATGGTCCGTAGAAGGTCCCCAGAGAGTTTCCCAAGGATGTCCAATGGACATACGTGAAGGACATTGACGAGGAGTACTTATAGCCTACGAGCAATCATTCGTCGGTGAGGTGTAAGTTAACGTTCTAGCAGGGACAACATATTGAAAGTACCGACTGGGTCGTCCATGGGACATTATTTCTAGGACATTGGAAGAGTACAGTGCATGTACCAATTGGGACATCCGACGGATATCCCTAAGGGATATTCGAAGGATGTCCCTAAGAGACATTTCGATTGTTATACGATCCTGGAAATATTAAGAGCGAATGTGCAGAGATATTTGAAGGAATGTACCATCTGGGACATTTCATGGTTGTCTAGAAGGGACATTATATAAGATCTGAAGTCATACCAGAATATGTACTACTCGGGACATCCGATGGATGTCCCTAAAAGAACGTTCAAAATCATATCCCATCAGGGACATGCCAAGGACGTCCTTGCATGGACATTCTACAATATGTACCACGTGGGACGTCTAAGGGATGCTATTTCTAGGACATTTGAAATGATGTACCAGCTGGGACATTCCGTGGACGTCCTTGCTCGGACATTGCAAGAGATGTACGGGATGGGACGTCCCAAGGACACTTATTTTTGGTTCGGGACATTCGGACGTGAATTGTACCAAGTAGGGACGTCTCTAGGACGTTGTGTGGTATCAGGGATGGGTGAAGCCTGGTCTTCAGTGATATAGGTGGGAATGTAGTGTGTTGAAGTTAATATGCTATTATATACTGATTTTGGTTTTCTATATCTTCTTGATGATATGGTCGTTGTCTCTATTCTTCATTGCTTGAGTAAAGTCTACCTCAGCCTCCATGTACTTCCTCTCCGAATAGAAACAGTGGGATGACAAAAACTTTCGGATTGTTCTTTTGAATAAATGTATAGGTGTTTCCCTAATATTTGCAGGAAGTTTATTATAAAGCTTAACATCTGTGGAGTTACGTTAAACGGTGTTTAGTTGTACGAAACAGATCACAATTTCTTGTTGTATAATTATGAAAGGCATCATTTGTTTGATAATTCCTTTTGTTTTTATGAATTTCCAGCAAACAATTAAGAATGTAGATACATGGTAAAGGAAGTATTTCCTGATTTTTGAATAATGGACGACAACTCTCTCTATACGTAACTTTCGAGATCAATCTCAAAGCTCTTGTTTGTAGTTTGAATATTCTTATGGAATCAATTGCGTTTCCCGAGAGAGTTACGGCATAGTTGATATGAAAATGAAAAAGACCAAAGTATGCTGTTTTCAAAACTATTGGGCAAGCAAATCTACTCAGTTTTCGCAATAGGAAAATAATTGAGCTCAATTTCTTACTTAAATGTTCAATATGAGCTGCCCACTTCAATTTGTAATCCATGAAAATTCCAAGCAGCTCAACTTTTGTACTGGCAACAGTATAATTAGTAGAAAATAAGATATTTTGAGTTTTTTTGTCATTGAGTTTCAAAGTGTTAGTTATGAACCACGTTTCAGCTTTAGTGGAGAAATCTTGGACAATATTGTCCAATTGGTCAATGCTTTTGTCAGACACATAAAGAGTGCAATCATCTGCATAACAGACACATTCAGTTGGATTCATATAATGAAAAATATCATTGATATAAATATTAAATAAAAGTGGTCCAAGGATAGAACCCTGAGGGACCACAAGCGAAATATTCTCAATTTCCTGAAATTCGCTGGAGCGAGAGATATAACAAAAATGCACTCTATGACCATGTGGGGTCATCTTCAGTGATTTACACTGCTCGCCAACCGCCATGGTACCACCCCAATTTCCGGAAAATCATATTAGGAGTCGAAATAGGTTAAAAATCACTTCGGATTCGGAATCAGGACGCCCAATTCACTAACTCTCCATATTTTTCCTGGAAAATTCTCAGTTCTGAAATAGTAGATTGTTTTATTAGGATCAAAAGTGACACTTTGTTTGACAAGCGAATTTTGCGAAGCGGAGCAAAAGCAAAATTTACGAGTCAAACAAAGTCACTATTGGTCCGAATGGAACATGTTATTTCTTTCAGGTTTATTCAATTTTCAGGAATGTTCGAATTGAAGTTTCAATATGAATACAACCACAGAGTGACATATCTGTGTATGGACCAGGTGGTCTGATGGCAAATACCGAGTGCCAGGTATAGGAACAAGACATGGAAAATGTTAGGTTAGTAAGCATATCAACTATAATAATAGCGACTATTTTTTCCTCTCCATACTATACTGTATTTGACTTGATAATCAAATACCTCTATTTGATTAACAATATCGTTATTATTCAAAAACAAGTTATATATCCCGAGAATAACGGATGAAATACAGATCAAGCAAGTATGTGAATCTTGAAGGCTTTCCTGATCAAAACAGAAATACTTAACTGAGATGTTCATAATTCCTATACTTGACTATAATGAGGTGTATTTATATCTTTAGCATGGGTAAAAAATGCCAAATCTGTCGAAATCGGAAACAAATCAGGTATGCGTCCAACTTGATGACGTCTAGTACATCCTTTTTAGTTCCTAGGAGCTAAATTTCAACTTCAGCTCCTAGGAACTGAATATGTTGCCTAGCAACAAACCTATTTTTGTGTCAGTAATAAAAACGTCAAATCAAGAGGACGGTTGCAGAAAAATTTCATTTTTGTCTCCCTATTCATGGAAAAACCACCGTATCTTTCGAAATCGTTGGGTTAGGATCCTGAAACTTGCTGTAGCAAGAGATATGCCAAAAATGTACTCTATGGCTAAGTGACGTCATCTTCAATGACATACATTGCTCGCCAACAGCCGTGGAACTATACACATGTCCGGAAAATAATATCAAGAGATAAGATTGGTTGAAAATCACTTCGGGTTCGGAAACAGGACATCCAATTCACTAACTTCCCATGTTCTAACTCATTATTATCGGTAAAGATTTTCCTCATACTATTAACGAATTCATTAATTTATAATTTATTTCAACGACACCCGGCATGATTTATGAACTATTGGATCGCTCCTGCATGATAATCAATCCGATTGTACTAGTTCTGATTGTTATTTCATTATCCCTGATGAGAACTGACTCTGTGATTATCAATTTCAGAGCAACCATTATGTTGGTAGTTCTGTGGCTGCTGGCTAGCAGTGTATCATTGAAGATGATTCTACTTGTTCATTGGTCTCTTTCTTGATCCCAAGAATTTCAGGTTCCTACATCAATAATCACATAAGCTACTGGGGTGCTTCCATGAAAAGTGAGAGGTTGATAGCTGCTTGCTCGAAATTTGTCCAATATTCAAGAACTGCCGTATCATTTTGTTATATAAATTCATTAGGTCCGATAAACTTATTTTGACCAGTACTACACATGATAGCTCTGTGTCCTAGAAATTTTGGGACACCCTGTATATCTCGATTTTTTCGATTATTCTATGCAACTATATTGATGATGAAATCAAGCCTTCCATAGATTGTAGCTATGTTTGAATAATGACATCAAAGTTCCCCATTATAACGTTGAGAATTTTTTATTTATAAGTTTTTTATAATAACCATCACATCGAATGAACAAATTTTCAGGATACTACCATTCTACCAAAAATATTCGGCGATTGATGTTACGACAGCTTGTTGCCTAATTATTCGCGAATGACATCGTATATCAAATCTTCCTAGTATTGTGTTCGTATGGCTATTTTATGATTGAATCAGGCAATAAATAATGTTCATAAAAAAACCTGTACATTCAATATTCAATAGGTACTAATTATAATTGACGTTATGAATGTCAAACGTTTTATCGCTGACGAACAATAATAGTTGGTCACGTTTGGGTCAATTCGGCTTCTGTATGGTTGAGTGAGTCAACAAAAAATATACCTTTGATTCAGGAGATACCGTGAGAATGGTCGATTCTGATTGGTTCTCGGGAATAATCATAAATAAACAGAATAATTGTCAAGCAACCTAAGTGTGCTACTCAATTACGAGCATTTAGATATCATTCAAGAGCTGTCATGAGCAAGTAGCAGACTGTATCTTTTCTACTACTATAATAAATAGAGATGTAAGTAAATGTAATTGAGTGTGCTACTCAATATAGTGTGAATATTATGATTTTCAAATACTTTTCACGTGAAATTCCTATGGTATTGAGGTGTTTTATCCGCAACTGCATTTAATGACATTTTGATAATTTGGTGATACATCTATGCACCAGCGTAGATAAGGAGGGGTACTGAAAGCACAAACAGTAAAAGACTCAGAAACAATAATCGATAATGAATTCAAAATGTTATATATCAACAGGTTGATGCCTGATTATGTTCTAGTAAAACAAGTTTCTGAGGGTAGTGTATAATCTCTGATGTTAGTAAATTTAGAAATGAATTCTCTCTCAAACATTTTAGTCAAATTTGTTGCAATCACAAATATATCTTTGGAAAAAT